GGAGACCCTGTGGTGCAGTTCCACTCTGTCCTCTAGGGGCGCTGTGGGTCAGAATGGACTCCAGGCAGTGGGTGTGGTTTGGGCTCTGCTTCTGTGAAGATTGACAGCCTGGGAGACCCTGTGGGCAGTTCCACTCTGTCCTCTAGGGGCGCTGTGGGTCGGATCTGCCTGACAGCAACGTGTGTTGAATTCTGCCTCTGCCCCCCATTGCCCCGTGACCCAGGACAAGAAGCTTTAACTTGGTTTCTGCATATTAAAATAAAAAGTAGAGGTTGGAAAGGACCAGAGTCATACCTCCCTCATACTGTTGCTCTCAGAATGACTTGCTTTCAACAGTGCCTGGCATACACTTTGTGTTCAGTCAACGTTAGTGTTGTTGGCAGGGTCTCGGTGAATATCTAAGGACATTTCGCTGCCTAGGAGATGTCTGTTCCTTTCTGCAGTTTAACTAGCCCATGCTCCAAACCCGGCTCAGAGAGCTGAGCCTAGAGCCCAGTGGCCAGCACTGAGACCTCTAGGAGCCCGCTCCTGGCTGAGATTTCTGCTACTCACCCAGTGATGAGCGGGGCTCTGTGGGCGGAAGAGTAGAAGTTCCAGGGTATCCTGTGATTGGGAGAGGAACACGATTAGAGCTTCTGTGGGAGCTGCTAAGATTTGATCACACTCAACCCAACCTTCTTCCTCGTGGCATCCATTCCAAGACCACCCGTGGGCATCACCCAACCCCCAACTCCTGAGAGAGAACCAGACTACTCTTTCCCTCAGCGTTGCTGTGAGGACTGCATGCCGTCCCCAGTGCCTGGTGTAGGGTTAGGTTTCGATCAGTGTTAGTGTTGGCATCACGGTCTCTGTGATGTTCAGGGGTGCCTTGCCCAGTAGACGTCCATTCCTCACTGTGGTCTTTCTGGCCCCTGGTTCCACGCCCAGGGCAGAGGGCTGAGCTCAGAGTCCAGACCCCAGCAGAGGGACCCCTAGTAACCCAGCTCTAGGGGCTCCAGTGACCAGGGCAGGAGAAGGGGAGAGTTGCATGGGGTAGACAATGGCGTGTTCCCCCTGCCTGGTCCTTTCGTCTGCTGAGTATCCATTTCAAGGCCACGCCTGACCTGCACTCAATCCCAGACAACAGCCTGAGAATCCTGAGCGTAAGGGGCTGGGGCAGGAGACCTGAGAGACACCCCTGTGTGTCAGTCTGCTGAGGGCTGGTCCCCTCTGCACCTCCGTCGTGAGCTGCCTGACCTTGTCCGCCCACATCCTGTGTGCAGGATGGGGGTCTTCTGACCTGGTCCTGTCCCTACTTGGGAGACTTAAAGCTGTAAGCCCTGACAGCTGGGACCAGGGACAAAGACACCGGTGGGGAAGACAGAGGAAGACCAGGCACCTTGTTCCAACCTCATTGACCTTGTAGAATCAGTGCAGAGATAGGCGTCTTCTCACTGGACCATGACTCCAGGACCTCACCATGGTCTAAGCACACACAGGCCATGCCTGTTTCACCTCATAGTTCTCCCCAAAGGACTGTCCCTCCCTAGTCTAAGGTGCCATCCCTGGACAGTGGCTCTGTCCAGTGGGAGAGATGGACCACACCAGAGGGCAACATGTTGCCTGGGGCACAACGTCTGGTCAGTTTAAGGGCACATTTAACATGCCGTCCTGAGCAAAAAGATAAAGATTCCCTTGAAGGGAGTCTGCCCTGCAGCAAGTCTCTGGACAGAGGAACAGAGGGAGCCGGGAACCCACTCCTCCACCGTGATCGTTAAGGCTGTGTGCTGACTTGGCTGGCCTTGATTCTGAGTGATTGGAGCAGCTGTGGTGTGGTCTTCCCACGATGAGGTCTGAGGTAAGGTAGTCAGCCCCATGGTGGGGTATGCCGTGAGCAGGCAGGCAGTTGAAAGGGAGTTTCCTCGGTACAGATGCGTCTTGGGAAAATGCTCGGACCATCTGTTGCATCTGGGCCCTTGTCATGATCTGGTTTTGGAGCTGAACCAGAGACCTGGCGTGTTGCCTGCTGATCTTGGGACTGTTGCCTTCACAGCCTGTGGGTCAACAGTCTGCCACGTTCTCTGCTGTTGTGGACTCATATCTGCCGAAGCCAGCAGCCTGCCCACCACCTGCTGGCCTGGGGTTCTCAGGCCCTGCAGCTGTGGGGGTCAGGAGGGGCCTGCAGCTGGATGGTAGACCCACGGTCTGGGACTTGTAGCCTCCACAACTGTGTGAGCCGTTCCCCTGAGAGACATTTCTCTCTCTCTCTCTGTGTGTGTGTGTGTGTGTGTAAACCAAACTCACTGCCATCAAGTCGGAGCCAACTCATAGCAACCCTTTCTTGGGTTTCTGAGGTGGTATTTCTATGGAAGTAGATTGCCCAACCTTCCCTCTGAGGAGTGGCTGGTGGGTTTGAACCACAAGCCTTCTGGTTAGCAGTCAGATGCCTTAGGTACTATGCCACCTATACACACATATATACACACATACATATGTACATATGTGTGTGTGT